GGAGAGGGCCTGGCAGAGGGGCAGGAGGGGGCCTGGCAGAGGTCTACTGGATCTTCTCCACTCAGAGGAGTCCCATGCCCCCAGAAGCCTCACTGCAGCCCCGTCCTGGATGACAGGAAGATTACTTACCCAGGACATTTTTGTCTGGAAAGTAATCGAAGCAAAGAATCCCTCTCCTTAAATTCAGCACAGAAGACCTGCAATAGCAAAGGGGAGGGCTGGGTGTGGTGGGCTCAGGGGAGACTTCAGGGAAGGTTTCTTGCATGGACAAGAGCCAGGAGCTTGGAGAGAAGTCACTGCAGGACACTGATGGAGAGGAACTAGCCAGAAAGGATGGTCAAAGCTCAGTCCGAGCCAGTCAGGGCCGGGGGATGATTGGCAACACAGCGGCTGTGCCTCAAAGCCCCTGGCCATAACCACACGGAGAAGCCGCACACCTCTGGCTGGGAGGTGACAACAGGTAAAAGCAGGAGCACATCTTTATGTTTGCAAGGCCTTTCACATCATGCCCAGGGCAAACTGAACTTGGCCTTCGCATCGGCCCGGTGTCTTCACAAGACACCGTGAAAAACGGGAAGGCTCTGTCCGATAGGGATCTGATGATCAATATATCTGTAAAACTTCAACAACTCAAAAAGACAGCCCAATCATTAAGTGGGCAAAGGACTCGAAAGGACAGTTCAAGAAGGAGGGCATTCAAATGGCCACCAAACGCATGACCAGATGCTCAACGCCCTTCACCACCAGAGAAGGCAGATCAAAGCCACGGTGAGAGCCCACTTCCGAACATGGCCAAGGCAAAACAAAAATGAATAAATAACAAAATGGCCCATGCTGGCAAAGCCATGGGGAAACTTGTCCGCTGCTGGAATGCACAATGGGACGGCCATTGTGGGACAGAATGTGCCCATTTCTCAAAGACCCTAAAAGAAACATGGCCATCTGCCCCAGCAATTCCTCTCCTCAAGAGCTACTCAGACGACGTGGGAGCTGAAACTCACAAGAAACTTGTGCACCAATATCCATCGTTGTACTCTCTCCATAGAGCCAAAGATGGAAACAACAGAGAGGCCCGTCGACAGAAAATGATGTGGAGGATACAATGTGATGTGTACATATGTGGAACATTGCTCCACCAGTAGGAGGAATGATACATGGATGGAGCGTGAAGACATTATGCTGTTCCTTTGGCCAATGGATGGCACTGCCACTGCCAGGGGGTCTGAGCCAGTTACCTGGACACCATCTGGTGGTCCCCTCTCCTACACTACCGTCATCCAACTGGGCTCCACGTACTCTTTACCCACTTCCCACCCCATCTTTGCCCTCTTCTTGGTCCAAAAAGCTCACCCAAACCAAACTCCCTGCCATTCAAAGGAATTTCACGTCATATCAACCCTATAGACAGAGTAGAACTGCCCCTGTGAGCTTCCGAGACTGTAACTCTCTACAGGAGTAGAAAGCCTCCTCTTTCTCCCCATGGAGCAGCTGGTGGTTTCAAACTGCTGGCTTTGGGGGTCAGAAGCCCAATGGGTTCCTCACTATGCTACCAGGGCTCCTGTCATTTCCAGAAGAGTCACCCCACTGGTCTCTTGACTTCTTGTCATCCTCCCCTTGAATCTGTTCTCCCACTCCAGAACCTGAAGGATTTCTCTAAAACTCAAATCTTCAAGAAGAACATTCCAAATGTATGTGATTCCTTTATGGAAAACCAGGTAGACATGCAGAGAATTGTTCCACAAGAATGACAAAAAAATAGGTTCATCATCAGTGTGTCAGGCTCATTCACTTGTTCATTCAATACATGCATAGTTGAAACTCCTACAGAAGTCGTGGTGGCTTTGTTGGGTAAGCGTTGGATGGATCACTTCAAGGTCAGTGGTTCGAACCTGCCAGCCACCCTGCAGAAGAAAGTTGAGTCTGTCTGCCCCCTGAAAGATTTACAGCCTCAGAAACCCATAGAGGGTCACTATTAGTCAAAATTGACTTGATGGCAGTGGATTGGAACTATGCACCAAGGAGGCCAGGTGTCCTAGTGGATTAAACATTCGGCTGCCCCAAAAGTTCAGTGGGTCAAATCCAGCAGCCGCTCCCTGGGAGGAAGAGGAGGCTGTCTGCTCCCATGAAGATGTTATCCTCCGGAAACCCTAAGAGCAGCTCTGTTCTGTCCTAGAGGGTCACGGTGAGTCAGAATGGACTCTGTGGTGGTGGGTTGATTCCGTGCCAGGGTTACGCAATGGAGAAGTCGATTGAACGGCCCAGCCTTCGTGCAGTTGTCGTTCCAGAGGGAAGCAGCGTGAGCACATACGTGGACAGAGACATGGGAGATGGCGATTGACAGAGTCCCACGAGGGAAGAAAACAGGTGGGTAACTGGACAGGGTAACTGAGGAGGCACACTTTCAACAGCCTGTCTGGGGAGGAGCAGTCAGTGGAGGATGAGAAGGGGCCAGCAAGGGGAGGAATTTGAGGGGCCGCATGTGAATGGACGAGGGCATAGCATGAGAAGGGGAGGGGCCAGACCACATAGCCCTGGCATGATGGGGGTTGAGGGACCCCTGAGGCCGGTCACGCATGATCCTGATGCGATCAGGCCTGCAGATGGCCGCTATGCAGAGACAGGAATGGACGGCAACCAGCGGGGCACCCCTGGACCACGGCCATGGGTTTAGTGGCTTCCACTAGAGGGTGAAGAAGGGAGAGGGGCAGGAAGTGGAAACACTATCAGCACACACTCAATGCAGGCCGACTGCCAGGTTCCAAGTGTCTGCTGGGAAGCCAGACCTCAGAACCCAAATTGCCTCGGAGGAGTAGGCTGACCCCAGAAGCTGAGTGCCCATTGTTAAGGCCAGGCCCCTCCTGTCAGGGGCCATGCCCTAAAACTCACCACCCCAATGGACACCACCACAGTGGGTCATGCTGCCACCTGCTGGCACATGTATTGTACTGCGTCCACACCAAAAGGATGGGTGTGCTTGCATATGCGTGTACTCTCCAGCCGACGCCCAGAGGAGCCCTGGTGGCATAGTGGTGACACATTGGACTGCAAGGTCATCGGTTCAAGACCACCACAGCACCACCAGCCACTCCAAGGGGCCGCCTACGCCCGTCAATTAGTATAGTCTCCAGCAGTCCCACCCACAGTCCCACCCACGTATGTCTCCACGCCCTCGCCTGCCCATGTGCGTTCTGCTTTCACCAAGCAGCCGGAGGACAGTCTGACCCACGTGTCCGCTCACCGTCCCTCTGCACAACCCCGTCCTGGACCCTGATCTGAAACGGACTGAAAACACGGTAAAAAGACGTTCTTTTGAGATTTGAAGAAATCGAGACTGCCCCTGGTGTTTAAGGCACTAAGTTCTCTGCTGCTGTGTACGCTTGACACTTCCCTTATCCAAGCCAAAGGGGGGACAATGCAACAGCCGTGGGGGGAGAGGGAGGCCGCACGTGTCTGGAGTGGGAGAGGTGGGGAGGCTGGGAAGGCAGGGAGACCAGACCAGGGAGGCTCGCATGGCACTGGTGAGGAATCTTTCGTCAAAACCTTGGGGCTATCAGTGGGAATCTTGCCGGAAACTGGAAATCTCCTGAGCAGCAGTAGAACCCTGGCAGACAGCGTGACTGAGGAAGAACGAGGCCTATTAACCATGGCTGTGTGCTCGGAAGCAGGTTTCTTGAGCAAAGGCTAGACCCTACGGGTTGGGCTCTGACAGCCCTGGGCGGGGGCCATTAAAAGTGTGAGGAGCCCCCACCCCGACCCCAGCCAGTCACGGTCCGCTGTTAGACTAATAATGCCGTGGAGTCAGAAAGGGGGGTCATCGAAGTGGAGACTCTTCCACCAACCTCCTCCACGGGGCCACAAACCCAGTGCCGCAGAGGCAATCCGGACTGTTGGCAACCGGAGAGGAGAGAGAGCTGCCCTGCTATAACTCAGGAGCAGAAAGCCTCCTCTTCCTCCCACGGAGTGACTACAGATTCAAACTTCTGACCTTGAGTATCCCATGGCTCCACCAGGTCTCTGAACATAAACTAAAAATCAAAAATAGCAGGATAGGGTGCGTGATGAAGGGGGCATGGGAAGAAGGAAAAAAACAAGCAAAAACCAAAAAAAATAGGAGGTATATTAATTTCTGATAAAATAGACTTTGGTGGGGGGGTGGGGGGGACACATAATGATACGACATGGAATGGGAGGAAAATGTAGAGCACAATTCAGAATCACTGAAAGGCCAGGTGTGCTGGTCTGATTCAGACTGGCGGGATCCCCAAGACTGAGGGTCTTGGGCATCTCCCACCCCTGCCCGGGGTCCGCTGGCAGTCAAGCAGCAGGTAGAGCAGGAATGACTCACAACAGCTTCTTCTTACTCCCAGGCTGATCTGGAACTCAAAATTCCCTCGTCGCGCTTCTCAACCTGTCCGGGCACTCAGTGAGACACCTGGTACGACTCAGCCTAGCCCTGGCTCCCTGTGCGCGGTCTCTGGCCATTATTCTCTGCCCTTCTCTATCGCGGTGCCCACGCTCAGTGCCCCGCTTCAGGCTGGTGCTGCCCTCCAGTTTTGCCGGCGGTTTTCGTCTTCCCTCTGCCGGGGCTGCTCACGTCTGGGCACTCAGGGGAAGCCTTTTCAGGCGGCTTTCCTCCAGGTCCATCACAGGAGGCTTAGCCTGTGCAGCTGGACCCCTGAGAGATCTGCCTTGTATTCTCAGACGCCGAGTGGCCTTGTCAGGAGCCCTGCTGGAGCCGTGTGTTACACGTGTGGCCACTGTAACCACACCTTGTCACTCCATGGGAGAAAGAGGAGGTTTCTGCTCCTTAAAGGCTGATCCCCTCCGAAACCCAGAGGCACGGCGCTACTCTTCCTCAGAATCAGCAACCCCGGGAGACCAAAGGGGCAGCATTCGCCACAAAGCGGGGAAGATGCTCAGAAGCAGGAGGTGGCCAGGAAGAAGGATGGACAGATACAGGGAGCTTGGGGAGGGAGCGGGGAGAGAGCTGCTTCCCTTAGGGAACAGCGAATCATGTTATGAAGCCAAAGGTAGGTAGGTCCCTTGTCGAGCGGAAGACACATTTGTTCTGTAGACTTTTACCTAGCCCACAATAAATAATAAAACAAAAATAATGGATAATCTCACAAATTCACAGAAGCATAAGAGATGACGAAGTCCATGGGAACTCTTAAAAATGCTAAACTGGCACCGAGTAGATTCTGACTCATGGAGACTGTAGGATGGGGTGGGTTTCTGTAGACTGTAACTCTTCACAGGTGTAGGAAGCCTCATCTGTCCTTTCGAACTGCTGCCCTTGCAGTTAGCAACCCAGTGCATAAACCACCCACCAGGGCTTCCAGCACAGGACCCAGCAATTCCACTCCTGGACATAAGCTCAAAAGACTTGAAAGCAGAGATTAAAGAAGAAGAAAAAAGACTTGCACATCAATGTTCATTGCAGCACTATTCACAATAGCCAAAAGGTGCAAACAACGTCAACAGTGGGATGGACAAACAAAATGTGCTCCCTACATACAATGCAACACTACCCATTCAACAGGAGAAATGATGCCCTGACACATGCTACAGTATGGATGGAACTTAGAGACATTGTGCTGAGTAAAACAAACCAGTTACAAAAGGAAAAACATCATCTGACCTCACTTGTACAAAACATAAGGAAGAGGCAACTCTGTAGAGAGCAAAGAAACCCCAAATCCTCCCAATTGGACCCAAACATCATGATAAACGGGGAAAGGGTTGAAGTTGTCATCTTGCTTAGATCCACAGTCAATGCTCGTGGACGCAGCAGTCAAGAGGCCAAACGAAGTATGGGAGGGGGTAAATCTGCTGCGCAAGCCCTCTGTCAAGTGTTGAAAAGCAGCGAGATGTCACTTTGTGGACTAAGGGTCTCCCGATCCAAGCCATGGTATTTTCAATTGCCTCGTATGCATGTGAAAGTGGGACATTGAGTAAGCAAGATCAGAGAAGAGTCCATGTGTTTGCCTAATGGTGCTGGCAACGAATATGGAAACTACCCTGGACGGCCAAAACAACAACAAGTTTGTCTTGGAAGAAGTACAGCCAGATTGCTCCTTGGAGGCAAGGATGGTGAGACCCCATCCCACATACTTTGGACATGTTGTCAGGAGAGACCAGTCCCTGGAGAAGGACGTCATGCTTAGAAAAGTAGAGGGGGTGTGAACAAGAGGAAGGCCCTGGACAAGATGCATTGCCACGGTGGCTGCAGCTATGGGGTCCAACCTAAGAACAGTTGTGAGGAGGGTCCGAGGGAGCAGCATTTGGTTCTGTTGTGCACCGGGTCGCTGTGACTCAGAACCGCCTTAGTGGCACCTGACAACAGCAAACAGGACAGAGATAAAGGTTCCCTCGTGGTTGCCAAGGGAAGGAGGGAGGAGGGAAAGGGGGTTAATGGCCATGGGGAAATCCTATGAATTAAGGGGAGGGTTGCACGGCGAATTCTTGCCGTTACTGTGAATCTGTTTATACACCTGTAAAAAACTGAATTGGCCAAGTTGTGTGGTTGCTCCATTTGCAACAACGATACACGCACCGAGAAACAAAGAGAGTGGCTGCTGAGCCTAAACACCTCGTGAGATTTGGTTCTGTGGTTTGGAGGTTTGGGTCATGGTTTTATGGGTCATCTCCGTGAAGTCCCGACTGAACTGCCCCGCCCTAGTGCTCCACTAGTTCATTGTCTAGGGCCTGCCAGCTAAGGTGCGGCAATTGGTTTTTAGCTGCCTGGAGGAACAGAGGCTAGGAGGAGCGTGAGGCGACGGAATGCAAGACAAATGGCCTTCGTCATGAACTACCTCCTTTGCCCCAGTGGTGCCGTGGTGACACAGTGGGCTGCCAGCCACAAGTTCCGAAGTTCCTAACCACCAGCCACCCCTCAGGAGAAAGAAGGGGCTTTCTGCTGCCGCACCCTGGCCTGTCGGCCATTACGAGTCAGCATTGACTTGATGGCACTGGGTTGGGTTGGGTTTGTCCTGAAATCAAAAGAACTGGCTGGTAGCAGGCAAGTATGGCTACCATTGCTGGATAGTTTGGTCAACTAGCCATTAGAAGAATCTTGCTCAAAAGGGATAAATTCCAGAACAGAATTTCAAATCCTCACAGAATCCAGACTTCCCGGAGCCATGAACATTTGGATGACCCCCTGAAACTACTGTCCTAAGATCACCTTACGGACTTCTGGGGATATTTTTGGCTTAAGGTTTAAAGATTATCTTAGGGCAATAGTTTCAGGCCTTCTATTTTCCCTGGCAGCCAATTTCAACTCAGAGCAGGCCTGTGGGCAGAAGACGCCTACCTTAAAAGGCACTGTGAAAAGTCCACACGAAAATGACGGAAGATTGGTGAAGGTGTCAGGTGGAATGCCAGCCTGTCTACAAGGTTTCCATTGTTCCCAGAGACTGTTCATTTATACCGTATGTGCGTGACAAACCACTGATTTTTAAGAAGAAACAGTGGGGAGGGGGACCACCTTACTCGGGGGTAGAAGAATCCAGAATGAAGGAAGTAGGCAAGAGCTATAATAAATGCAATCAATTCTTGAACACAACCCATAGACAGCATCCTTTTAAGGATCCTTCCAACCTGGCGGGGAGGGGGGGGTATGTGCTCCTTCTATCCTCCCTTTTCAGACAAAGAAACTGAGGCTCAGAGAGGTACAGTAATTCACATGCATCCCTTCATTCCGAAAATTGTTTTTTGACTGTTTATAATTAGGTGCCAATGTCTAGGCTGAGTATGGATTTGGACCAGAATGAAGACTAAATCTAGCTTTGAGCCCTTGCACCAATGATCACCTCCCACACTCTGTTGGTGGGACAGGGAGAGCTTCCTTGGACCCAACATGATCCACAGACCATGATGTGGCCCGTAGGAGATACTACTGACCCAGAAGGGGGCCCGCTACCACCTACTAACCCCCTTCTTTACACCCCACCCCACCCCCACCTCAGAGGGGCACTTCTTACTTGAGACTGTCCGGCGTTTTGGAAGGCAACACGGACAGCACCAGAGAGGCCTTATCAACGGCTGAACAGGAGGCCACCAGGTTCAGCTGGGGGATGAACTTGACCTGTTGGCACCAGTTGAGATGGACAGCCTGGGGAAGAGAGAGGCGATGATGGGAGACTGGCATTATCGGGTGTCAGGGACTGGAGGGACCCGGTGATCCCGAGTCTAATGCTCTTCTCCTGGTGGTCACAGCTGCGACTAAGTGATATTGCCCCGCAGTCCTGGTGACCACAGGCGTGCAACTGTCGCTGGTTAAGTTAAAAAGCTCAAAAGCCTGCCAGCTTTCTATAATTGATGTCTTGCTTTGTAAGTTAGAAGATAGGCCAGGTCCTCCCTCTCACCACCATCAAATTGATGCTGACCCCTAGTGAGCCTGTGATGAGGTAGAACTGCCCCATGAGTTCCCCAGGCTGTAACTGTCTAGGGGAGTGGAAAACCCCATCTTTCTCCCAAGGAGCAGCTGGTTGCTTCGAATGGCTGACCTTGGGGATCGCAGCCCAGCATGTAACCACAATGCTCCGGGGACTCCTTAGGCAAGGTCAGGGCCAGGCAAATAGTCTTCTCTGTCATCTGTATTCTAAGTGGGGTGGAACGAGGCCTAGTCCACAGGAGCACCTCCTACAGATAAACCTTTGCTTCCTGCTCCCCAGCCCCACCCCAGCCCCAAGCGCCACCCTCCATGTTCAAAAGAACACCCAGACTCGGTGTAGCGTGTCGTTAGGACTATATTCTCTGCCGCCACCTGGCATTGTAAGTCGAGGCCTGGCTGGCTGGGCTCTGAGTTCACCGGCACTAACTCTTGTCCTGAGCCAGAGTCTCTGCCTCCCAAGCAAGAGATGTTCCTCACTGGGGCGGGACTGGAGGTGGGAGGATGAGAGGCTCCGTGGGGGAGGTCATCAGACATTAGTCAGCCCCTTCTCCACTCGAGGCCCTGGGCTGGCCGTCACACACACCCTCTCACCCATCACCAGGCGCAGAGCTGGTCATCGAAGGCATGGCATAAACCGGGGACGCTTCAGCAGCCCCAAGGAAAAGCAGCCCGGGGTGAGCTTCATGGGAGTTCTAAGGTGTGACCTACTGAGAAGCTCACATGGCTGGAACCACCAGGCCTGCTCA